GCAGCCTCGACTTCTCACCCTCCAAGGCTCAAGTGATCTTCCCACCTCAGCCTTCGGAGTAGCTGGGACTACAGGCATGTGCCACCACACCCAGCTAATTTTTGTATTTTTTGTAGAGATGGGATTTTGTCTTGTTGCCCAGGCTGGTCTCAAACTCCTGGACCCAAGCAATCATCCTGCATCAGCCTCCCAAAGTGCTGGGATTACAGGCGTGAGCCACCGTGCCTACCCTGTCCCAAGCTTTTCTCTCTGATATTTTGTATCCAATCTGTTGGCAAATCCTGTTGACTCTGCCTTCAAAACATATTCAGGATCTGACCATTTCTTAGCCATTGCTACTGCCCTGGTGTAAACCATCATCATCTCTCACGTGGGTCATCGCCGTCACCTCCTAACTGGCCTTCTTGCTTCTGACCTTGTCCTCCTGTATTCTCATATTAGCAGCCAGCATGCTCCTCTTATAGCAGGCCAGCGTGTGCCATTCTTCATTTAAAATTCTCCCATAGCTTCCCATGTCATTCAGACTAAAAGCCACATTTCTCAGTGTCCTTACAGTACCCTGATTATGATCTAATCTCCACTATTATTCCCCTTCCTCATGCTGCTCCAGCCACTGGCCTTCCTGCTGTTCCTTATACCTGTCAGGTACACTCCTGCTTCAGGGTCTCTGCATTTGCTGGTCTGTCATTAGGTAGACTCAGCATGAGAGATCCATGTGCTTTGCTTCATTGCTGCCTTTAGATCTTTGCTAATATAATCTGCTCAGTGAGGCTTTCTCCAGCCGCTCAATTTAAAATTACATTCAGGGTGCCAAGACTTTGTCCTCTATGCCCTAAGGTTTCTGGACCTTCCAGGTAGGAGCCGAGAACCCTTGGTTGGTCCCTCTAACTTGCATTTCTCCCCATCCCTCAAGCAATTCTTATCCTCCTTCCCTGTTTGATGCTTCACCGTGGCATATATTACCATCTGATGTACAGTGTATTTTATTTTATTTATTTTGTTTGCTGTTATTTTCTGTTTCTTGCCACTGGAGCATAAGCTCCATGAGGGGGGATTCTTGTCTTCATGGTTCATCGTTATGTTCTCACCACCTGACATGTAGGCATATGATAAATATGAATGAATGGATTCCTAGTATTTCTTGCTTCTCTTTCATAGTTATTATGATTATGATGCAGTACCTAGTGTGTCTCTATCTCTAAAATGAAACAAAGAAATCTGCGTTTTTGGCCTGGCGCAGTGCTCACACCTGTAATCCCAGCACTTTGGGAGGCTGAGGCAGGCGGATCACTTGAGGTCAGGAGTTGGAGACCAGCTTTGCTGGCCAACATGGTGAAACCCCATATCTACTAAAAACAAAACAAAACAAAACAAAAATACAAAAATTAGCCAGGTGTGGTGGTGGGCGCCTGTAATCCCAGCTATTCAGGAGGCTGAGGCAGGAGAATTGCTTAAATCCAGGAGGCAGAGGTTGCAGTGAGCTGAGATGACGCCACTGCACTCCAGCCTGGGCAACAGAGCGAGACTCCCTGTCAAAAAAAAAAAAAAAAAAAACCTGTGTTTTTGTCTTGCTCACCTTATATCCCCAACACTTAGTAGGTGCTCCAAATATATCTCTGCTGTATGAATGAAGCTTTCTGAGATGCTAATCTGAACATATTCACCCCACTTCTGCCTTTAAATCCTATTGCCCTCAGTATCAAACCTGAATCTCCTTAGCATATCATAATCAGCTTCCCCTTGTCTCATGTCTTGACACTTTTCTACTCCTTCCACATCTAAGATCCAGCCTTTCTTGAATATGCCATGCTGTCTCACTTTCAGGCCTTTGTACTCACTGTTCTCTTCTTGGAAAGCTTCACCTGACTAACTCCTACTTATCCTTTAGGGCTCAGCTGAGGTCACATTTTCTGGGAAGCTTTCCAGACCCTTAAGGCGAGCTTGTGTCAGTGGGGGTGGGTACAGAGCCCATCTCCAGCTTAGTCCTGCCCAGGCTTCTGCTGACATCTGATTGTTGTGTGTTGGCCACAGAGGTTGAAGATTAGCTCAGACAGAATGTTGATGATGTAGAATGTAGAGTAATGAGAATGGCAGTGAGTGAAATGGAGGTTGAAGCAACTAAAAGCCATTGTGGGCTCTGGGCTGTCAAGACATTGTCCTCTATGCCCTGAGGTCTCTGGACCTTCCAGGCAGGAGCCAAGAACCCTTGGTTGGTCCCTCTGACTTGATTTTTCCTCGTTCCTCTTTCTCAGGGGGGGATGTTACCATCACTGACCTGCCCCTGGCCCTAGAACAGATCCAGGGCAACGTCCAGGCCAATGTGCCGGCTGGAGCCCAGGCCCAGGTGCGTGCCTTGTCCTGGGGGATTGACCACCATGTCTTCCCTGGAGACTATGACCTGGTGCTGGGGGCTGATATCGTGTACCTGGAACCCACCTTCCCACTGCTGCTGGGAACCCTCCAACACCTGTGCAGGCCCCATGGCACCATCTATCTGGCCTCCAAGATGAGAGAGGAGCACGGGACGGAGAGTTTCTTTCAGCACCTCCTGCCCCAGCATTTCCAACTGGAGCTGGCTCAGCGGGATGAGGATGAAAATGTCAACATCTATAGGGCCAGGCACAGGGAACCAAGACCTGCTTGACATCGCTCCTGCTGTTCTTCTCCATCTCTTGTCCTAATGAAGGAACTGTGTATCTCAAAAAACATATTTCCAGAGCCACAAACATGAGGACCAAAAAGGATGGATTTCCCTGGCCTCTGTCACTTTCCTCCTTCCCTCTTTATTAGCCCAGATTCTCTTTGGCAGGTGCAGTGCCAAGGAATCCCAGAGCTCTGGCAGCACTAATGTTAGAACACCAAGGAGTTTCCAGCTCCTGTTCTCAGAGGAGGAGGATGGTAGGGTATCCAGGATTCTTAGATGGTAAGGGAGGTATATGGGATGTGAGAGCAGTGGTTGTATAGAGACTGTCACTGATCACTTCCATTGCCGTTGCTATTTATACAGAATGGACTTTTAAAATTCTATGGGATATTTCTTCTTTTTTTTTGAGACAATGTCTCACTCTGTCACCTAGGCTGGAGTGCAGTCACTGCAGCCTCAATCTCCCAAGGCCCAGATGATCCTCCTGCCTCAGCTCCCAAGTAGCTGGGACTACAGGCATGCACCACCATGCCTGGCTAATTCTTGTATTTTCAGTAGAGGCAGGGTTTCGCCATGTTGCCCAGGCTGGTCTCAAACTCTTGGGCTCAAGCGATCCACCCTCCTTGGCCTCCCAAAGTGCTGGGATTACAGCCATGGCCACTGTGCTTGGCCAGGATTATTATTATTATTATTATTTTTTTTTATTTTTATTTTTATTTTTATTTTTTTTGAGATGGAGTTTCGCCCTTGTTCCCCAGGCTGGAGTGCAATGGCACGATCTCGGCTCACCGCAACCTCCGCCTCCTGGGTTCAGGCAATTCTCCTGCCTCAGCCTCCTGAGTAGCTGGGATTACAGGCACGCGCCACCATGCCCAGCTAATTTTTTGTAGTTTTAGTAGAGACGGGGTTTCACCATGTTGACCAGGATGGTCTCGATCTCTTGACCTTGTGATCCACCCGCCTCGGCCTCCCAAAGTGCTGGGATTACAGGCTTGAGCCACGCGCCCGGCTATTATTTTTTTTTAAAGAAAGAATTAAGCCTTAAATATCTCTTGTGCAAGAACTCAGCTTTTGCTCAGGAGCTGAGAAGGAAGAAGCCTCATACCACCCATTTTCTGGTTTTCAGAGATAGAGTCTGGTGGGACCATGGCTCTAACTGAGTGAAGTCCTCTGAGCTCCGAAGCTAAGGCTGCAGAGCTGTCCTTTGCAGTATAGTTTCTTCATGCTTTTCATAGCTAGAGCCTTGATCACAGAACATCATGCTGTGGACCAAAAAGGGTGGATTTTAGTACTTAGTACTGGACTGAGTACTACGTTATTTTCATCTTTGATTTTTCTTTAGCTTCATCAGTGCTTTCTTCCGAATCTCGAATCCCCTGAAGCCTAATACAGTTCCTAACGTGTTTTGCCTTCACCTCTTTTCTCTTCCCACACTGGTACTTCTGGTTGGGGCTGTTTACTTACTGCTTAGGCACATAGTCACCTTCTCTGGACTCTCTGTCTCCATGCTTTCTTCTTCAGTACATTCTGCAAACTCTCGTGATCTTCCAAAATTAGCTCTGATTAGCTTTCGCTGCCTATAGAAGCAAGAACAAGCTCCTCTGCTTGGTACTTAGTCTGTGTCCATGTGATCCCAAATTACCTTTCTACTGCATTTCCTACTCCTTTGCTACATGTTTTGGACCTCTGGCCAAATTACAAAAGATGGACTCTTTGTTCTATAAATCCACACTAAAGTTTCCTGACTTCTTTCTTACTCTTTATGATAATCCTCTGTCTGAAAGTCTATTGCCACCTGTCAAAATCTTTATTATTCTTTGCCTCTTTCCTGAGCCTCTTGCTTAGATGTGATTTATTTCTCCCTGAGACCCTTTAACTGTTTGTTCATCTTGTGGGACCTTACTTTGTCGTGCATGGACACTTGTGATTCTCATTTTCTCACCATTAAATTACCTTAGAGGGTAGGGCTGTGGTTTACTCATCTCTAATCCCCTGAGGCCTAACACAGTTCCTGGAACACAACAGGTATTCAACAGATATTGTGTTCATTCAACAAATATTTACTCGCTTTGTTAAATGGACTTGACTCCTGCTTTCCTAGGTGACCTTGGACAAATTCCTGAACCCATCTACCAACCTCACAAGTTTGTTGTGAGTCGTAAATGGATAATGAATATAAACGCGCATTGAAAATAAACATAAAATGTTACCCACATTTCTTGTGTTGTTGTTTTGTTACAACTGTATTTCTTGGTTTCCGTTATTTTACCTAGGGTGGGAGGTGCGGGGGGGTAATTCCCGTATGAAATATGCAGTGTAAAGAAATCAAGTAGAGGAGGGAACTGTGTACCTCCAGCCAGCAGGTGGCACCATCTTCGTTTGGTGCGTTCCAGTGGAAAATTTTGGCCCTTCCGCCGCGCCGTAGGTTTGTCGCCTTACCGGTGCGCGCCCAAGAGGGAGTGTAGTGCCGCCCGGGAGATGTGGATGCTGCGGTCACTGCGCGTGTTCCTGGTCGCGCGGACCGGGAGCCACACGGTGAGATGGCCTGGTCCTGGTACCGACCTGCGCAGCCCTGCTGTGCGCCTGTACCTTTCCCTTCCTCACAGCCCCATGTGACTCCATCCCACTTTCCCCCGACAGCGTTGCCTCTGCCCCGTCCAGCCCCAGTGCATCCCCCCTTTCCATAGTTTCCGCACCCTAAAGTCTCTTCCCTGCCCGTGTGCCCTCCACCCGCTGGAGTTAGCTGCTTCCTGCTTCTCATCCCTTTCTTAACCCATCCAGGCGGGGTCCGTTCTGCGTCAGTCGCCCCAGCCACGGCACACATTTCATGCTGGGCCATGTCTGTATGCCTCGGCCTCCAGCAAGGAGCTCCTCATGAAACTGCGGCGGAAAACAGGCTACTCTTTTGTAAATTGCAAGAAAGCTCTGGAGACTTGTGGCGAGGACCTCAAACAGGTGGGGGCGTGTGTGTGTGTGTGTGTGTGTGTGTGTGCGCGCGCGCGCGCGCGCGCGCAGGGCGGAGTACTAGAGCTCCATAAAAGACCTGCTGTCCAGTGTCAATAATGTCACAGCCATAGGTGGAAATCTGGGTTAAATGACAACCTGACCTTGACATTGTCTTATTTGGAAGCAATTGAATATCCCAGGATTAACAAACCCTATTGCATGCAAGACTGTTACGGTGTTTTTTGTTGCCTGGAGCTGAAAGGGTTTGTGCGAGCTTTGGAGTCAGACACATAAGGAGTCAAATTTTGGTGCCATCACACTAGCCGCCTGACTTTACACATCTTAATCTTTCAGAGTTGGATAGTTTTCGTCTGTATAGCCATGCGTCTCTTAACTAGGAAGATACGTTCTGAGAAATGCGTCATTAGGAGATTTTGGCTTATGCACATCATAAAGTACTGACACAAACCTAGATGGTACAATGTACTACAACCTAGGCTATATGGAATAACCAGTTGCTCCTGGGGTACAAGCCTTTGCAGATTGTTACTGGACTGAATAAGCAATTGTAAGACAGTGGTAATATGTATCTAAACATAGAAAAAGTACAGTAAATAGGTATAAAAGATGAAAAATGATACATCTCCATAAGGAACTTAGGTATGGAGCTTGCAGGACTGGAAGTTGCTGTGGGTGAGACAGTGAGTGCTGAGTGAATGTGAAGGCCTGCCTTAGGACACTGTGGTATACTACATTAGACTTTATAAACACAGTACATGTAGGCTACCTTAAATTTGTAAGAAATTTTTTTTCTTCAATCATAAATTAACCTTGATGTAACAGTTTTCTTTTGTAAACTTTATTTTTATTTTTTTACCAGGCACATCAGCAAAGGGGATATTTTATAAACTGTTAACATGTTTTAAACTTTTGGACCCTCGTAATAACAGCGTAAAACACATACAGTTGTGCCAAAATGTTTTTCTTTATGCACCTATTCTATGAGATTTTCTCCGTTTTTAAATTTTTAAACTTTTTTTAACTTAAAAAGTTGTTTTGTTAAAAACTGAGACACTAACACATACAGCTTAGGCCTACATAGGAGCAGGGTCATCGATAACACTGTGTTCCACTTTCACATCTTGTCCCGCTGGAAGGTCTTCAGGGGCACTAACAGACATGGCCCATCATCTCCTGTGATAACAATGTTTTCTTCTGGAATACCTCCTGAAGGACCTGCCCGAAGCTGTTTCACTGTGAATTTTTTTTTTTTTTTTTGAGATGGAGTCTTGCTTTGTTACACAGGTTGGAGTGCAGTGGCGCAATCCATCTTGGCTCACTGCAACCTCCGCCTCCTGGGTTCAAGAGATTCTCCTGCCTCAGCCTTCTGTGTAGCTGAGACTACAGGTGTGCGCCACTACACCTGGGTAATTTTTGTATTTGTAGTAGAGACAGGGTTTCACCATGTTGGCCAGGCTGGATTTGAACTCCTGGCCTCAAGTGATACACCTGACTCAGCCTCTCAAAGTGCCAGGATTACAGGCGTGAGCCACTGTGCCTGGCCTAAATTTTTTTTTTCTGTAAGTTGGAGTATATTCGAAAATAACAATAAAGGGCTGGGCGCGGTGGCTCATGCCTGTAATCCTAGCGCTTTGGGAGGCCGAGGCGGGTGGATCACGAGGTCAAGAGATCGAGACTATCATGGTCAACATGGTGAAACCCCGTCTCTACTAAAAATACAAAAAATTAGCTGGGCATGGTGGCGCATGCCTGTAATCCCAGCTACTCGGGAGGCTGAGGCAGGAGAATTGCCTGAACCCAGGAGGCGGAGGTTGTGGTGAGCCGAGATTGCGCCATTGCACTCCAGCCTGGGTAACAGGAGCGAAACTCCATCTCAAAAAAAAAAAGAAAAAAGAAAATAACAGTAAAGTATATGGTATAGTAAATACATAGGACAGTAACATAGTTGTTAATTATTGTTTCATGTATCATGTACTGTATGTGATTGTGCATGCTATACTTTAATAGGACTGGCAGCACAGAAGTTTTCTTTACACCAGCATTGTCACAAACATGTAGGTAATACATTGCCCTACAATGTTAGGAGGGCCACAGTGTCACTAGACAATAGGAATTTTTCAGCTCCATTATAATCTTATGGGACCATCATCATATGTGCAGTCCGTCATTGCCGGAAATATTGTTATGTGGTGCATAACTGTATAAAGAAAATACAACTGTGTGCCTCATAGTGTTGTTGTGAAGATTAAATTGATCCAAGGCACCAGTTATAATAATACCGGATATTTGGCATTTAGTGGTAGACTGCCAATAAATGACAGATTACTTTAGTTTCTATTAGAGAATTTAGGGGAAACAATCAGGAAACCTGAGCATATCTTAGAACTATATGTACTTCTAAATTCTGTGACTTTGTTGTCTGCTCTTTTTCTTCTCAATATATAGGCAGAGACCTGGCTCCACAAGCAGGCCCAGAAGGAGGGCTGGAGCAAAGCTGCCAAGCTCCAAGGGAGGAAGACCAAAGAAGGCCTGATTGGACTGTTGCAGGAAGGAAACACGACTGTATTAGTAGAAGTGAGTTGTTGGAAATTCCAGATACCAAGAACAATGTCCCTTGGGTGTAAAGCCTGTAGTAGGCCCTTTATATTCTTGAAAAAGAAATCTGTTTGAGAACTGTAAAGGGTAGTTGAAGTTAAACTCATGAAACCTCTGGTATTAGTTACGAATTCATTTCGGTATAGAAATGTACTGGTGCGTTGATGAGAAATGGCCTGCAGTCTAGACTACTACTCCCGAATGTGAGTCTGGTGCAGCCTTACGCTGTGTCACTGATTGTTTCCTGGAACAGTTAGATTACAAAGTTAATTATATTAATTGTTGCTGAATAGAGAGCAGCTATTTTAGAGGAGGTTTTGGGGACATAATTGGTGAAGAATCAGGTGTGGATTAGAGTGAGAGATGGGGATAAACAAGGTAGTAGCGCAAGTGGTTTGGAGCTGGAGGGGCTGGAGAATGAGGTGATGATGGTGTGCAGCCATAGATGAGTGGTGAACTTGTGGTGAGTCCTTCAGGACATTATTGAACCATCCTCTGAATATACAGGCTATTGCCAACTCACTGGCCCAGCATGAATCACCTCATTCTGTTTCAGACTAGGAGAGGAACTGTAGCTTTAAATTTTGGAGTCATTTTTTTCTGTTCAGTTTGCAGCTTGTTCTCTCAGTATCTTGATTTACTCTCCAGCCTTACGGCACTTTGGAAACTATCATTAAACAGCTTATACAGCAACATCCATTTGTTCCTGCAGGTAAACTGTGAGACGGATTTTGTTTCTAGAAATTTAAAATTTCAACAGTTGGTCCAGCAAGTAGCCCTTGGAACCATGATGCATTGTCAGAACTTAAAAGATCAACTGTCTACATACAGTAAAGTGAGTTTGGGGTTTGTCTCCAGTTTGCTAAATTTGCTGTCCTCTTTGGGTCTTTGCTGTTCCTTTTTTAGACATTCTCATGTCTCATTCCCTTCTCATCGCTGCTTAAATGCTATCTCTTTGCACAGGATTACCCTTTTCCCTGTTGCTATATCCCCTTATCGGGCTTCGTTTAAAATTTTTTGTTATGGTGCTTATATATCACATTTTAATTTACCTATATGTTACCTGCCTTCCCCGATAGAATGTAACCTTTAAGAAGCAGGGAGTTTGTCTTTTCACTACTTGGTGAAAAAGAATTGGGCCCACTACTTAGTTGGAGCTCAATAAATCTTTTTCAGATGAATGAATGAATGAATGCCAGTGGAATGAATGGAGTTAGCTACATCAAGTGAAGCCATCTGAGGCTTTGTAATTATAAATTTGGAATGGCCTTTTTTTTGTCTTTTTGAGATAAGGTCTCAATCTGTCGCCCAGGCTAAAGTACAGTGGCGCAGTTTCAGCTCACTGCAACCTCTGGTGCCGGGTTCAAGCGATTCTCCTGCCTCAGCCTCCTGAGTAGCTGGGATTTTAGGTGCCTGTCGCAGTGCCAGGCTAAATTTTTTTTTTTTTTTTTTTGGAGACGGAGTTTCGCTCTTGTTACCCAGGCTGGAGTGCAAATGGCGCGATCTCGGCTCACCGCAACCTCCGCCTCCTGGGCTCAAGCAATTCTCCTGCCTCAGCCTCCTGAGTAGCTGGGACTACAGGCACACACCACCATGCCCAGCTCATTTTTTGTATTTTTAGTAGAGACGGGGTTTCACCATGTTGACCAGGATGGTCTCGATCTCTTGACCTCGTGATCCACCCGCCTCGGCCTCCCAAAGTGCTGGGATTACAGGCTTGAGCCACCGCGCCCGGCCTTTTTTTTTTTTTTTTTGAGACAGAGCTTCACTCTTGTTGCCTAGGCTGGAGTGCAATGGCGCGATCTTGGCTCACCACAACCTCCGCCTCTCAGGTTCAAGCGATTCTCCTGCCTCAGCCTCCTAAGCAGCTGGGATTACAGCCAGGCGCCACCACGCCTGGCTAATTTTTTTGTTTTTAGTAGAGATGGGGTTTCTCCACATTGGTCATGCTGGTCTCGAACTCCCGACCTCAGGTGATCCACCTGCGTCGGTCTCCCAAAGTGCTGGGATTATAGGCATGAGCCACCATGCCCAGCCTGGAATGGTCTTAGGAAAGAATTTCTAAATAAAGAGATTGGAAAAGGCACAATTTAGGAAAATAAGCATATTCTTATCCATAGAGGCATCAAGGAAGGAATTACATCATTCCGCCTTTGACTTAGGCTTATTGCCAAGGCAAAAATGAACCAACCACTCACAGTAATGTTTTTGAGTTTATTACCAACTGTTTTATCTTCTTCTTTATCCTTCTCTTGAGATGTCTTGGTAAATGTTAATTGTTATTGATATTACGTAGTCATATTGAAAACAATGATAAGGTTTTTTTTTATTTTTAATTTTTTTTGAGACAGAGTTTCACTCTTGTTGCCCAGGCTGGAGTGCAATGACACAATCTTGGCTCACTGCTACCTCTGCCTCCTGGGTTCAAATGATTCTCTTGCCTCAGCCTCCCAAGTAGCTGGGATTACAGACATGTCCCACCACGCCCGGCTAATTTTGTATTTTTAGTAGAGAGTTTCTCCATGTTGGTCAGGCTGGTCTGGAACTCCTGACCTCAGGTAATCCACCCACATTGGCCTCCCAAAGTGCTGGGATTATAGGTGTGAGCCACTGCACCTGCCCTTATTTATTTATTTATTTATTTATTTATTTATTTTTGAGGCAGAGTCTCACTCTGTCGCCTAGGCTGGAGTGCAGTGGCACGATCTCAGCTCACTACAAACTCCACCTCCTGGGTTCAAGTGATTTTCCTGCCTCAGTCTCCCAAGTAGCTGAGACTACAGGTGCCCACTACCACACCCAGCTAATTTTTGTGTTTTTAATAGAGACAGGGTTTCACCATGTTGGCCAGGCTGGTCCTGAACTCCTGACCTTGTGATCTGCCCACCTCGACCTCCCAAAGTGGTGGGATTACAAGTGTGAGCCTCTGCGTCTGGACTTTATTTTTTGAGACGGAGTCTCACTCTGTCACCCAGGCTGGAGTGCAGTGGCGCAATCTGAGCTCACTGCAACCTCCGCCTCCTAGGTTAAAGCAATTCTCCTGCCTTAGCCTCCCTAGTAGCTGGTACTACAGGTGCGCCACCACACCCAGCTGATTTTTTTTTTTTTTTTTTTTTTAGGAGTTTTACTCTTGTTGCCCAGGCTGGAGTGCAATGGCGCGATCTTGACTCACTGCAACTTCCCCCTCCCAGGTTCAAGCGATTCTCCTTCTTCAGCCTCTCAAGTAGCTGGGATTACAGGCATGCACCATCACGCCCAGCTAATTTGTATTTTTAGTTGAGATGGGTTTTCTTCATGTTGGTCAGGCTGGTCTTGAACTCCCGACCTTGGGTAATCCACCCGCCTCGGCCTCCCAAAGTGCTGGGATTACAAGTGTGAGCCACCGTGCCCAGCCAGTTTTTTATATTTTTAGTAGAGATGGGGTTTCACCATATTGGCCAGGCTGGTCTCAAACTCCTGACCTCGTGATCCACCTGCCTTGGCCTCCCAAAGTGCTGGGATTACAGGGGTGAGCCACCGTGCCCAGCCCCTTCTCCTTTTTATTTAGTGATTTATTCAGCACTAACATTGACTCATGGGTTTATTTTATACAATAAGCTATAATTCATTATTCGTTTTGATGCTCAAATTATCTGCAGATTTGACTAATGCAAGCTGACTCTAATGTTCTTTGATATGTCCTTATCATTTTCTGAGTATTTTCTTACATTTTGGCTTTTTTTGTTTATTCTTATTTCTGGGGTTTATGTCATACTTTCCACAGTTGGGGAAACTGTGGAATGGGCCACTTCTTCAAGGAGTCCTGGTCCTTTTTAGCTGGGGAATAGCTTTTAGAAACCAAGATGTGAATATTAAGTGTGCTTGTTTCTCCTGAGAAGTCATTTGTTTTTTCAGTGACAAAGTGCAGGCGTGGGTGAATGTGGTTCAATTTTTCCTTTTTCATAGCAGCTTCAATATGTTTACTATTTTACCTATTTACTCAGTGTGACAATATAGCTACAAAATTGTTTCCAAATTGCTACACCTGATCACTGCAAATAACACAAATACTAAGGAGTTCAAGATTTATTGGTAGTTCTTTTTGTCTTTACATTGAAGTTAGGTGGTCAAATGACTCTATTGAGTTATTTGGATTTTGTTTTCCTCCTGTGAGGTTATGTTACTCATTTGAAACATAGTTTTATATTTCTTTGTAGTCAGTATTTATTTTCTTGTTTTTTTTTTTTTTTTTTTTTTTTTTTGAGACGGGGTTTTTTTCTTGTTACCCAGGCCGGAGTGCAATGGCGCGTATTTTCACACCAAATATGTGTTGACTTTATTTTTTAAATATGTGGGTTTTTTTTTTTTTTTCTTTTTTGGTTGGGTGTGGTGGCTCATGCCTGTAATCCTAGCACTTTGGGTTTTTTGTTTGTTTGTTTATTTTTAAAATCTTTATTATATTAATAGAGATGAGGTTTCACCATGTTGGCCAGGCTGGTCTTGAACTCCTGGCCTTAGGGTGATCCACTGGCTTTGGCCTCCCAAAGTGCTCATTACAGGTGTGAACCACCGTGCCCAGCCACCCAGATTTAATTTATTTTTTAATACATAAAATCCATTAACAAAGTTCTCAAAAGCACAGTGACTCTTGCCTGTAATTCTAGCACTTTGGGAGGCCGAGGTGGGCGGATTATGAGGTCAGGAGATCGAGAGCATCCTGGCTAACACGGTGAAACCCCGTCTCTACTAAAAAAATACAAAAAATTAGCCAATGTGTTTGCTTGCGCCTGTAGTCCCAGCTACTTGGGAGGCTGAGGCAGGAGAATCGCTTCAACCGGGGAGGCAGAGGTTGCAGTGAGCCGAGATTGCACCACTGCACTCCAGCATGGGTGACAAAGTGAGACTCCATCTCAAAAAAAAAAGAAAAAAAAAAGTTAAAACTGTCAAAAAAAAAAGGATACTCAGAGAAGTCTTACTGTTCCCATCCACCCCTTTAGATAACCAGTGTCATTGGATTATGGTTATCCTTTCAGTATGTCTTTTTGTAAAAATAAGCATATTTATACAAATACTTCTTTCTTGCACAAATAGTATACTATGTACACTTATAATTTGCTTTTTTCACTTAATAATGTATCCTGGAAATATAACAATTCATGAAGGTCATTCTTTTTATTTTTTCCAACGGCATAGTATTCTGCTGTGTGGATGTGCCATAGTTTATTCAACCAATCTCCTGTGTTTGGGCATTTAGGCCATTTCTAAAATTTTATGATTGGAAATAATTGTTCAGTGAATAATCTTGTGTAATATTATTGCAAGTATATCATCAAGGTAAAGTCCTAGAAATAGGATTGCAGGGTCAAAGGATAAATCATAGGTAGTTTTATTAGATATTATTCAATTTCTCACTATTGGATTTGTACCATTTTGCATTCCCATCAACAATCTGCAAGTCTAGCTCTAACGTTTTATGATTGTATGAAAATATTGTTCTTGGCTATATGCAGTGGCTCATGCCTGTAAACCTAGCACTTTGGGAGGTTGAAGCAAGTGGATCACTTGAGGTCAGGGGTTGAAGATCAGCCTGGCTGACATGGTGAAACCCTGTCTCCACTAAAAAAGATAGAAAAATTAGCCAGGCATGGTGGTGCATGCCTGTATTCCCATCTACTCTGGAGGCTGAGGCAGGAGGATCGCTTGAACTCAGGAGGCAGAGGTTGCAGTAAGCTGAGATCATGCCACTGCACTCTAGCCTGGGTGACAGAGTGAGACTCCATCTCAAAAAAAGGAAAATAATGTTCTTGACCAGGTGCAGTGGCTCATGCCTGTAATCCCAGCACTTTGGGAGGCTGAGGCAGGAGGAGGATCTCTTCAGCCAGGAGTTTGAGACCAGCCTGAGCAACATAGGGAGACCCCATCTCTATATTTAAAAGAAAAAATAATTGTTCTTGATTTCTAGGAAATTACATTCTAAGAAGTTAGGCTGGAGGATAAGAGTGGAATGTAATTGGGGGTGGTCCAGCGATAGGACAACATATTTATAAAGATAGAACTGTTGGCCGGGCGCGGTGGCTCAAGCCTGTAATCCCAGCACTTTGGAAGGCCGAGGTGGGTGGATCACGAGGTCAAGAGATCGAGACCATCCTGGTCAACATGGTGAAACCCTGTCTCTACTAAAAATGCAAAACATTAGCTGGGCATGGTGGTGCGTGCCTGTAATCCCAGCTACTCAGGAGGTTGAGGCAGGAGAATTGCCTGAACCCAGGAGGCGGAGGTTGCAGTGAGCTGAGATCGCGCCATTACACTCCAGCCTGGGTAACGAGAGTGAAACTCCATCTCAAAAAAAAAAAAGAACTGTTACCAATTTTTACCATCCTTGGCTTAATGAAAATATTGTCTACACTTAGTTGTCTGAAATAATTTTCTTAAAAATAGACGATTTTTGCCTGTTCTCTTGATAATTTGAATAGTACAGAATCAGTTCATGTTTGTTTTCTTTGTGCACTTAGGGTTTCTTGAATTCCTCTGAGCTTTCTAGACTTCCGGCAGGACCTGACAGAGAAGGCTCACTCAAGGATCACTTGGCTTTAGCAATTGGTGAGTATTTGTAAAGGTTCTGGAAACTGGAAATCTTGTTTCTCCAAATCTAGGTCAAGAATTGTGTGCCTTCAAGGGTCAGACGATATGAATGTTAGAAGTGGTTTGTTAGATGTCAGGGAACATTAGGCGTCTTGAAGAGCTTATACCCTGCTGGAGGAAGTCCCATTACCAAACTCTAACCAGTTGTTAACATATAGGGAAATGGAGTCCTGTTGTCATCAGAATTTCTGAATTCCTTAGAAGTATTTAGATTTGTATCCAAAATCTCATGCGTTTTGGCTGTTGGCAGCTAATTAAAATTATTTTAATCAACTGTGCCAACAAAACAAAGCATGTCTTTAGGCAGTGATGGCCTTTTGACTTCCAGCTGAGTACCTTTGTGTATACTATAGGGAACATAGTACATTAAAGATGATTTCCTCTTCCTTATAAAGGGTTGCAGGACAACTGAGGGACATCGTATTTAGGATTTTTATCTTTCTTTTGAAAAAAATCTGATTGTGAGTTTGTAAGGATACATTCTTTTAAAGCCTGCTGGCTGTAGGAACCACATGTGGATCATTGTGGTGGGACTAGTGGGGATCTTGCTTTCTTCCTAAGTATCCTTGATGGAGGGAGGGTGGTTGGAGCTTGCTGGGAATTTACTGTTCATCTGAAGATTCCAGTCAAGGCATCAATACTGTTTTTATCAGGTCGTTTTGTATTATCTATGATGTTTCAATGAGTCATGGTTGAGAAACCAGGCAGACAGCTATGTATGGGGCTTATTAGGAAATTCTGGAAGAGCTGGGTGTTTTCAGCCTTGTCAGTTTCTGGGAATTAACTATTGGGTAGATGCTTCAAGCTATTTCAAAATTCGTTTTGGTTTCTGGATTCTTTTTCATGACTTTCAGATATTACTATGGCTAACGTAGGCATATTTATACAGACCCTTTTGTTTATTCTCCTGCCCCTTTCTACCTTTTGGCTTATTTGGACTTGGCTGTTAGAAGGGAATAGCATCCTGAGAGAAAGGGGAAAAATTACAATTACAATCTGTTTAATGTTCTCATAAATAACTCTGAAAATGTTATCTTTTTATTTTTGATGAGAGGAAATTGAAACTATCAGATGACATGGGGCTTTGACTTTTTCCTGATACAGGGATGATCCCTAGTTGTCTGTGTCAGTTATGGAGTATTCAGGATGGTGGGAAAAAGCACTTAATTGCTTTGGAGTCAGATCTGAGTTTTAATGCTAGCTCTGCCTTGTGTTGTTGGCTGGGTTACCTAAGTTCTCTAAACCTAAGCTTATTGTAATAATAGCTAGCTTTTGAGTGCTCACTATGTGCCAGATACTATAGTTAACACTTTTGCATATATTATTTAGTTGGTGCTTCATAAAGATATTCTTCACTTACCCCACTCTCACCGCGCCCCCCCATATCCCTTTTCCTCTTCCTAAAAAAAACTGAAAATGGTGTCTCTCCATCTTACTGCATATCCTGTATAAATGCAAAGGGACTGTCTTCCGAACTGGGCCTCTTCTGTGCATATTTTGTTACAATCACAAACATCATAATTTGTTGGTGTGTTTTTTGTTTTTTGCCTTTTTTTAATAGGAAGACTGGGAGAAAACATGACTCTTAAACGAGCTGCGTGGGTGAAGGTGCCATCTGGGTTCTACGTTGGCTCTTATGTCCACGGAGTAATGCAGAGTCCCTCCCTTCACAACGTGGTGCTGGGGAAGTATGGGGCCCTGGTCATCTGCGAGACATCTGAACAGAACGCAAACCTTGAAGACCTTGGCCGCCGCCTCGGGCAGCATGTGGTGGGCATGGCCCCTCTCTCTGTTGGCTCCCTGGATGATGAGCCTGGGGGAGAGGCAGAGACCAAGATGCTGTCCCAGCCGTACTTGCTGGATCCCTCCATTACCTTGGGGCAGTATGTGCAGCCTCAGGGAGTGTCAGTAGTAGACTTTGTGCGGTTTGAATGTGGAGAAGGTGAAGAGGCAGCAGAAACTGAGTAGGTTCCAGAGACTTTTGGCCCAGAAGGAGTATTTGTTTTTAGCTCTGGACATCATTACAAAAAGGATTCTTTCCCAAGCCTCTTCAGACCCAGAATTTATTTTTCATTTGAATTATAATGAGATTATAGACTTTATGGGTAAAATTATTAGTTATATAATAAAAATAATTTTTTCCTTGTTTACGTAATACTGGGTTTAGCTTTTCTATGTCTTATTTGTGACAGCTTTTGAAAATAATCTTATTGATAGGCCTTATTGACATGATTGACAGTGTCTCGGAGAACGGCCATCAACAATTCTGCTCCCTTCAACATAGATTTATTATGGTATTTCTGAAATTTCTAACTTGCGTGTTCTGTCTTACCCCATTTATGACATAGAACTCTTTTTGTTCTGCTTTCACTTTGCAACACTGGACCATGCTTCTGCCTTGGAACCTCCCTAGTTATATTACTTCTGCCACATGGATTTCTTTGGGATTGTTTATTCAAGCCTAGAGTTGTCTGGAAAATTTGGGTTCTTTTCTTTGTGGATGTTTGTAGCATGCTTTGAAGGCTCTCTGCAGTGGTAGACACACTGGTTCTGCCGTCATTTAATGAAATTAATAACATATGCCCCTGTTTATCTTTTGGATGATGTGGTGTGGGTGGGTGGGTTGGTACTGAGGTTTCCTGGCCAGGTATAAGGCAGATTTTGACATTCTTGTGCCAGAAACAGAAATTAGAGTAGTCCAGTTATCCAGAAACCTCACTTAACATTGCCTTTTTACTTCCCCAGTACTGAAACATTTCTTCCAGTATAACATAAAATTACCATAACGAACAAACCCTAAATACTGAAAATAACTTCATTTGTTCATTATAGGTATCTTCATTTGAAAAGCTAAAAATACTTTGACACATAACAGATCTGGCCATTTGGATTTCAACCTTGGAGTGTATATATGATTTCAATGATTTGCAGGTTAAATAGATTTTAAAAATAATGATCTTAAAATTTAAAACCAAGGTAGGTCCTGGTATAATATTAAACATAAAAAAATTATTAAACATTTTAAGCCTTGTTTTTTGGTTCTCCTAATTTTTCCAGATTTCTGCAGTTTTAGTGCTTTCTGCTGAGGCTTTAGCTAGAAGGCCACAGAACCCAAAAAGTGTGTGGTTAACATTTTAGGTATATAACAACCAAGAAATGCAAAGTGAGAAAAAATGGAGAAGACGCTGTGATTTGCAGACTCTATTATATCTCAATTAAGTAGCTGAATGTCAGGCAGAAATTGGTAGATAAATTCTTTGTTGATACTGGCACTATCTGCTCTCTTCTGTGGCCTTACAGTAGGCATAGGCCTTCTTGCTTTAGAAAAGCCCCTTTTCTTTCTTCATTTGGAGCTGTTTCCAGCCAGGCAGAGCAGCAAATTGCCCTCTTGTGATGCCAAAGACAGACACAAAGTCGGGTTCAGAGAGGTAATTCTAAAAGAGAAAACAAAGTTTCTAGTTAGAAGGAAGACATGACATCATTACTAACAGAGGTGGGAAAAGTTGGAGCAAGAGGGAGTTCTAGGTGGATCCTTGAAGAAGGAAGTAGAATGAATTTCTCAGAAAGGCTCTTAGAGATTTAAATTATTCATTGGAGAGGTGTTCTTCAGGTCACAGAGTACCATTTCGGCCTGCTGCAGAAGCTTACTGGATTCATTGCACTCACAGTGCCAGCAAGGACCAGTTTCTTGCCAGAAGGCAATAAATGGGTTATGTATTAAGGATGAATTATAGACGTCACATTTTGGCAGGATTAAGAACTAAATTGAGCCAAGGTTTTCCACCCATAACCACCATTTTTACCCAGAAATTTTCAAATGCATGATTGGGTGGATCTTATTGAGCTCAAAATTCTCCTAAACATTTACTTAATGATGTATTGCATATATGTATACAAGTAAAGATTATTAATATATGGTCTCTGCTTTCAAGAAAATTGTAGTCCCGATACTTAAGAGTTGCCTAGATAAGACATTGTGGGAAATCCAGAGTCCCTTCCCAAGTCAATTTCTTCAAAGGGAAAAGAAGTTTATTCTTTTTTTTTTTTTTTTTGAGATGGAGTCTCACACCATCACCTGGGCTGGAGTGCAATGGCACGATATCGGCTCACTGCAACGTCCATCTCCCTGGTTCACGCAATTCTTCTGCCTCAGCCTCCCAAGTAACTGGGATTACAGGCACACACCATCCCACCTGGCTAATTTTCTGTATTTTTAGTAGAGACAGGGTTTCACTATGTTGGCCAGACTGGTCTTGAAATCCTGACCTTGTGATCCTCCAGCCTTGGCCTCCCAAAGTGCTGGAATTACAGGTGTGAGCCACCATGCCTGGCTAGAAATTTATTTTTTTAACTCAAATATGTTAATTAATTCGAGCAAAACTTAAGAGTGCTTGCTATTTGCTAGGCACTGTTGTACGTGCTGAGAAGCTGAGACTATGATGGTGAACAAGACAGACAAAGGTCCTTCCTTTTAAGGATATTACTAGAGGAGAAGTTAGGCAGTGAACAAATATACAGGGTCTAGAGCAGGCATGGGAAGCAGTATTAGGGTGGTCAGGAAATGGCTCCTTGGAGAGGTGACATTGGGGCTGAGACCTACGTGATGAGAAGGTGCTGGTGCTGTGATGGTTTGGGAGAAGGATGTTTTTTTCAGGCATGAGCACTAGCAAGTGTGAAGGCTTAAAGGCTGGAATACCCATGTTTAAGGAACAGAAAAGCAGCCACTGCCCTGGCCAAAGGGTAGTAAGTGAAGAGGGTGTTGGTATATGAAATGCAATCAGAGAGGTAGGCCAGATTGTATAGGCCTTCGGCTTCTTTTTTTAAGTGTAGTGGGAAGCTATTTGAGGTGTTTTAAACAGGACAGTGCCATATGTTTTAAAAGATCCCTTTGGCTGTTGCGTGGGGAACGGATTGTAGGAACAGGTGGAAACCAGTTGGACTGTAGTAAGTAGTCCATGATAGCTGGACCAGACTAGCAGCAGAGAGACAGAGTGGACAGAAGCTAGCTGATAGACTGATGTAGGTGGAGAGAAAAGAAGAAAGAACTCTGCTTTTTTGGCTTGAGCAACTGGGTAGCTCAGGTGTCCTTTGGGCACCTACAATGTGCTAGAACTGTCCTAGGCCATTTACTGAGATGAGTGCTTTACTCACAGAAAGCTCTACTTAAAACAGACACAGTTCCTTCAGCCACTCACCTCCTTTTTGGCGGGGTTTACATCCTCAGGCAGCTCCTGATTCTGGTTTTTCAACAGAACTGCTATAGGGTAATATTTTGGCTCACCGTCATTAGAATTCAGGGAGAGGGTTGCATTATTCATGTCCTAGGTGAGATAAGAATGTGGGCACAGGGAAAAGACTCCTCAGTGTCTGTGTGGTTACAGTTCTGAATGTGTGTAATATTTAACATTTTGATTTATGCCACTTTGCCCTCTGTCATCATCTTTCAGAACAATGGTCCCCAAACCTGGTTGTACGTCAGAGTCATCTGGGAATAGAAAATATTCAGATTTTGGGGTTGTTCTTGGGAAAGCTGATTCATTAAGTCCAAGGCAAGTCCTGTATAGCCAGTTTTGCATATGTGCTGTGCCTGAATCTCATTTGAATATTGGGATCACATACCTTCTCTTGATACTTTTATTTAGCCCTGCATTTCCAGCCTTTTAAAAAAGTCTTCCAGCCTCTTAAAAAAGTCATTTAAAGGCTGAAACATCAACATTAGGTTTGGAATCTGAGTTTGTAGAGCACAAAGGACAGAATTGCCAGATGGTTTGACCACCTGGTGCCGTGCACTCCTGAGGTTAAAGAACTGCTGGATTCCTGGCCAGAGGCTCCACTTCTTTTAACCATTAAAATAGCTGTAAATGGCCTAAATTTCTTTGGACTTCACTGTCAGAAATGAACAAAAATGTCATTTGGGTTAGAAGCTTATTATTTCTGAAAAATACTGCCAATGACTTTAATCTCTCCCAAATGGCAGAGTTGAATAATACAACAAATTTTCATTTTTGTTGTTGGGTTTTTTGTCGTCGTTGTTGTTCAGATGGAGTCTTGCTCTGTCACCCAGGCTGGAGTGTGCAGTGGCATGATCTCAGCCTACTGCAACCTCGGCCTCCTGGGTTCAAGCAATTCCCCTGTCTCAGCCTCCTGAATAGCTGGGACTACAGGCGAACTCCCCCCCACCCTCCAGCCAGTTTTCATATTTTTAGTGGAGATGGGGTTTCACCATATTGGTCAGGCTGAACTCAGACTCCTGACCTTAGGTGATCCACCTGCCTTGGCCTCCCAATGTGCTGGGATTACAGGTGTGAAAAACTCCATTTTTGTTGTTTTTAAACAGCAAGCCTATTTGAAAACCTGGAAGTCAGGAAAATAAGGAGCTTGGCTCTGAGACCTACTTTTCTATTGATTACAAAAAATCTTTACATCAAAACAGACAACCATGGTAATACTAAGGAGGACATGAGTTTTGCCCATGAGCATCTGTAGTATTTCCAGGTTGTTTTTGACTCTGGTTGCCTGTATGGCTGGCTTCTCCAAGAGCAAACCCGACTTACAGTGGTGATTCGCATGATAGCAGCAGCATCTCCCAGCTCTTCTTTTAATTGTTGATATGATTTTCCTGCCTAAGAAGAAGAGATAGAAAACACAGGATGAGGTCTTTCTTATAGGGAAGGGACATCTTAAGCCTGGTCTGTGTCTTTAAGAAAAACAAAAAAGCCAGGGATTCAGAAGACATTTCAAGGATAAGTAAAAATGAAAATACCCCCTTTTGGGTCCATGCAGGCTTGAAAGTTGCTTAAACATAATGTACTTTCTTTGATGGTAACCCCTTAGTCCCCCCTATAAGATTCAAGAAAGAGCAGTTGAAGCCGGGCGCAGTGGCTCACACCTTGTAGTCCCAGCACTTTGGGAAGCCGAGGCAGGTGGATCACCTGAGGTCAGGGGTTCGAGACCAGCCTAACATGGTGAAACCCCATCTCTACTAAAAATACGAAAATTAGCCAGGCGTGGTGGTGCATGCCTGTAATCCCTGTAATCCCAGCTACTTGGGAGGCTGAGGCAGGAGAATTGCTTGAACCCGGGAGGCAGCGGTTGCAGTGAGCCGAGATCATGCCCTTGCACTCCAGCCTGGGTGACAAGAGCGAAACTCCATCTCAAAAAAAAAAAGAGCTACTTGATTAGGAGTCAGGAAACCTGGCTTTCTCTTGATTAACTGTGACTTTAGACAAATAACTTATCTTCTTAGCTCCCTTATCAATAAAACAGGAAAAATACTTCCACTGGCTATCAGGATTATAGTGAAGATCAAAAAGATGATGTGTATGGATATAGTTTATAAACTGTTTATACTTCACACTGCTTATTGCTGAGACCTGCTGTGAATTATCTACCTGGACTTACTGCAGTGGCAGGTGAAAAAGAGGAGAAAAGTAAAATGCAGGGAGTAGGATGGGAGTAGGGAAATGAGGTCCAGGTTTCATTGAGCCGTGAATCAGTACCCCACCTTCCCAATGAGCTGTTAGTTCTAAGCTACCACTCTCTTTTCTTACACTCCAAATGTTAGGGTCCCAGGCCAGGAACCAGCCTGTGAAGATGGGAGGCTCAAACCCCTGTTTAATGATCAGGATTGGTGTGTCGGGATCTCGGCCGCTGGGGTGAGTGTGCAGGTACTGCTGTGCTGTGGCAAGGGCACTCTCCTTCTCTGTGGCATTGGCCTCAGCCCCAATCCACAAGAACACCTGTTAGAGATTTCATAAATGTTACTGTGTTCATAGGAAGGACTAAGTACTAGATCATACACACTACCCTGTCTTTCCCCTTTCTTTCGTGAGCAATTCACAGCCTCAGAAAACTTTCTCAGCATAATTTGTTCAGCAAAGAAAGATTTTCCCAGAATCAGCTTGTTCTTCATCATTTTAATTGCTGTATGTATCTCCAGATCTGCATTTCCAAATCAGAGCTGTCTCTGAACTTCCACTTCCTGAACACAACTTCTTGCAGAACATATCCTCTTGACTGCTCTAAGCACCTTAAAGATAACACCCTCAAGATGTAGCTCTTCTTTACTAAACCTGTATTTATCTGAATCTCCACTTTTGATAAGTGGTATCCATCTAGTCATCTAAGGCAGAAACCTGGGAGTTTCCTAGAAACCCACCATATCCAATGAGTCACCAGGGCTGACCAACTTTACCACGTAAGCATTTGTCAAATCTGTCAGCATCCCTCCATCCCTACTCCAGTGCCCTTATGTGGGCCCACAGTAGCTCTTACTTGACCATGACAATAGTCTACTGATCGCCTTTGTTCCCCCAAAGGCCATATCCTCTGCATGTGGAGTCCGTTGCTATTGATCCTAAGATTAAAAAGTGCATGATGATAGGATAGCTTGATTTTTCCAAAGCAAGGTGGGAAAATGCCCAGGATGGTGAGTTTCAAACATCACTCTCTTCTCTCCACCCCTGGCAAAAAAATCCCAGACTTTCTTTTGGTCACTACTGACAAAGGTTTGATTGAGTTGGGGATGGTCCAGGGCTACCCTGGGTTTATTCTAGGGTGGGGATACTATACACAAACAACCCTTTCTATAGGAGTCTTTGTCATGTTTGGAGTTCTGCAGCTGTGTCTTACCTGGTCCCAGGTATCTAGGAGCATCATGTCACCAGGGTTCAGGTCATCCTGCGTGAAGTCTGTGATCTCAGTGACAATAAATTGGCCAGTCTTATTGGAACATTCAAAGAGACGGGACTGGACATCTAGGATTTCCTGCTGAAGTCTGCAATACAATCCATTTAAGGGCACCAAACTGCTTAGAAATGTTTGTAAAACTGAGGTATTAGCCTTTGTGCAATTCACAAGCCTGGCAGGCAGGGGGAGCCCAGAAGAGGAAGAAGCTGTCTTCCCATACCTTTTATCATTGGCATAGGGAGTTTTCCCTCCCAGTAGGTCCCAGAACTCGGCTGGCTCCTGGCCCTCGGCCACAGTGTTCTCGCTGCTATCACAGAGAAGGCTGGCCAGCTCCTTAGCCATTGCCCGCTCGTCCCCGCTAGACCCCTGAGAGTGGGGCGAGGACAGCACAGGTGTTAGTTACAAAAGGGCATTTTTATGTGGAAAGAGAAGCACCTGAGACTAATAACTCAATGTGCCAGGCAGAATCAGCTACAAAGCCACAGTCCCTCAGCCTCAAGACAGACAGGTTTGTTCTAGTGCTGGGGAGTGGGGAGGAAAACAGTGTGGGACAAAGAAAAGAACTAGGCTCTGAAACCCACAGTGGGTGTTGGCAAAAGTCCCCTTTGTTTCAGCTTCAGTTGGAATTTAAGCACCTACTTTTGATTTTTTGGGGGAAAAAGTATAAATTTATTTTTTAAAGTATGTACAGTATAGTGTACTCTTTTGGCATACAATTCTAAGAATTTTGACAAACACATAGAATCATGTTAGTACCACCACAGTAAAGGCACAGAACAGTTTCTTCCTCAGTCTCAAAATTATCTGGGGCTGCTACCCCTTTGGAGTCAAAGCCTCCCTGAATCCTTAACCTCGGTAACCGCTAATCTATTCTCCATCACTATAGTTTTGCCTTTTCCAGAATGCTATAAATAGTCATACAATATTTAGTCTTTGAGTCTGGCTTCTTTTTCTTAGCAGAATGCATTTGAGATCTCTGTTGTATTTACCAGCGGCTCATCCCTTTTTATTGCTGAGTGGCATTCCATCATGCGGATGTACTACTGTTTGTTTGCCTGTTGCGTTGTTGCTGATTATGAATAAAGGTGTTATAAACATTTGTGCACAGGTTTTTGTTATTTTACTTAATACCTAGGAGTAGGATTGCTGGGTCATATGGTAAATGATCCAGCAATGTATGGATCATTTACTTTATGAGGAAGTGTCAACTTGGTGCGGTGGCTCACCCCTGTAATCCCAGTACTTTTGGAAACTGAGGTGGGTGGATCATCTGAGGTCAAGAGTTTGAGACCAGCCTGGGCAACATGGTGAAACCTTGTCTGTACTCAGAATACAAAAATTAGCTGGGTGTGGCGGCACACGCCTGTAATCCCAGTTACTTGGGAAACTGAGGCAGGAGAATTGCTTGAACCCAGGAGGCGGAGGTTGCAGTGATCCAAGATTGCACCACTGCATTCCAGCTTGGGCAACAGCATGAGACTCTGTGTCAACAAAAAAAAGAAGAAAAAAAACTGTGGAAATGTTTTCCAAAAGCTGTACCATTTTGCAGTCCCGCCAGCAGTGCATGAAAATTCCTGTTGCCCCGCATCTTTGCTCACATTTTATGTTGACAATTTTTTTTAGCCATTCTAAAAGATGTGTAGTGGTTATCTCATTGTGATTTTGATTTGCATCTCCGTAGTGACTAACGATGTTAAGCATCTTTCTCTATTCAATTCTTTTTTGTAAAACAATTTTAGCACATGTTATTTTATTTTATTTTTCTTGAGATGGAGTCTCGCTGTGTCACCCAGGCTGGAGTGCAGTGGCGTGATCTTGGCTCACGGCAAACTCTACCTGCCGGATTCAAGCAATTTTCCTGCCTCTGCCTCCTGAGTAGCTGGGATTACAGACGAGCACCACCACGCCTGGTTAATTTTTTGTATTTTTAGTAGAGACCGTGTTTTACCAGGCTGGCTAGGCTGGTCTTGAACTCCTGACCTCATTATCCACCTGCCTTCGGCTCCCAAAATGCTGGGATTACAGGTGTCATTCACGGCACCTGGCCTTAGTGCATTGTAATGCACTATTGCAATATGAATTGACATCATATTTTCTATTTTTGTTCTGTATTAGTGTCTGTCTGTTAGAGTCCACCAAACTCACATGGGAAGATTGACTTATCCAGCCTCCATCTGCATAGAAGTTTATGAGATGTCTGCTGGGTATAAGCAGGGCTTTCAGTGAGTTTCTAATTAGAGTCTGATTGTGGGGAGTGTTGGCGATCCCTTTGAAGATTCCTTAGGAAAAAGCCTTCTCTTTTTGAGGACTGCTCTAGCCTACTCTTTTTTTTTTTTTTTTTTTTTGAGTTGGAGTCTCACTGTGTCACTCAGGCTGAGTGCAGTGGCATGATCTCAGCTCACTGCAACCTCTGCCTCCCAGGTTCAAGCGATTCTTCTGCATCAGCCTCCCAAGTAGCTGGGACTACAGGCATGCACCACCACGCCCGGCTAATTTTTGTATTTTTGGTAGAGATGGGTTTTCACCATGTTGGCCAGGCTGATCTCAAACTCCTGACCTAGTGATCTGCCCACCGTCGCCTCCCAAAGTGCTGGGATTACAGGTACCACACCTGACTTTTTTTTTTTTTTAATATGGAATGCTTCATGAATTGCATGCCATCCTTGTGCAGGGACCATGCTAATCTTCTCTGTATCGTTCCAATTTTAGTATATGTGCTACTGAAGTGAGCACTCCAGCCCACTCTAGGTCCTTTGACCTTGCTGAGTGGAGTGGAGTGTGGGTCTGGGTTCCGAGGGGCTGGTCTGACCCCTGGGCCCAGGCATCCTACCTTGCCATACCACAGGTAGTGCTCTGCCTGAGTTTGCAGCAGAAAGACATCATTGGAATTTAGGGAGGAGGCAAAGGCTGGAACCTCCACTGCTTTGGTGTTAGATTTGTCATTTCCACGAATTTGGAAGAGTCTTACCGGAGGGTCGGGCTCAGCATTTCCCTTCCTGGAAGTCCCACCCTAGAGAGAAGAAAAGCAGAGTCCAGATCTAAGGAGCAACATGTGAGCAAAGCGCTAGACGAGCTGTTGCGGGGAACGTGAATGTTGTGATGCTGTGTTTGCCTTTGAGGAGCTTCTAGGCTCACTGGGAAAGGTCAGGGCATGCTGGAGTTATGGCACCAATAATAACAGCTTTCATTCAGAGAACTTTATCATATGCCAGGCTCTGTGACTGGTGCTTTACCTGCATTATTTCACTGATCCTCATGATAACTCCATGAAGTAGATGTTATTGTTCCACAGTACAGATGAGGAAACTGAGACTTAGAAACTTGACTAGTATATGACAAGGCTAGGACTTGACCCCAAATTTGTGTGATATCAAGCATGTGACATTGCTTGGTAGTGCCTCAGCCAGGGCTTCATAGAAGAAGTGGACTTGAATTTGAATGGGCACATCTGGGCCAGACGTGGTGGCTCACACCTGTAATCCTAGCACTTTGGGAGGCCATGGCGGGCGGATCACCTAGCCTGCCCAACATAGTGAAACCCCATCTCTGCTAAAAATACAAAAATTAGCCTGGCGTGGTGGCAGGCACCTATAGTCCCAGCTACTTGGGAAGCTGAGGCAGGAGAATCACTTGAACCCTGGAGGCGGAGGTTGCAGTGAGTTGAGGCAGGAGAATCACTTGAACCGTGGAGGCGGAGGTTGCAGTGAGCTGAGATCGCGCCACTGCACTCCAGTCTGGGCGACAGAGTGAGACTCCGTTTAAAAAAAAAAGAAAGTGTGCTCACTTCGGCAGCACGTATACTAAAAAAAAAAAAAAAAAACAACGGGCACATCTGCAGTGGGAGGGGTATAGTACGGCGCATGTGAGGTCTAATGAGAAGACCCACCTGACTGGAGTGGAAGGGACAGGTTAGGGAGCTGAGGGCAGTGCACCTGCACAGGTAAATGGGTCAGGTTATGAAAGACCTTGAACATAATTAGATAGGGGGTCAGACTTGAAGCCCTAGGCAGTAGGGATTCACTTGACTGTCTTAGAGGGATTAACCCCCTTCTTTCTGTGTCTAGTACAGGTCTTACTCCCTACCCCATCCCTCCTTTCCTCTCCAACAGCCCCATGCTGGTTTGTTAGTTTGGAACATTCCAGCTTATGGTGTAATTTTATCAGAGCATCCTCACCTCAAAGATAACTAGCTTCCCTTTGAAGATGGCCATGAAGTGGCGTGGTTCCGTCCCCATCCTGACTCGAACCTGCACAGCGGCCCCATCAAACTGCCGATCCACCTCCACTGCCTGGAATGCTGAGGCTGCCAGCTCATCCTGTGAGGCGTGGCGGCCCTGCAATGGTGAAAGGACATGAAGGGCCCATCCTTCCTGCCCCAGCCAGTGGCCAGAGAACGTATCAGGATCCAAAGCTAAAGCCTGTGACAGGCCTACCTGCCAGATGTACAAGATGTAATGCGGCTTCCCGTTCACCTCATATGTGTAGAGGACCAGATAACAGTCTCCCCCATAAAAGAAGCCATACCATTGATATTCCACGGGGACCAGCTCCAGGTTCTCAATTCTCCAGACCTGGGCATGGGAGGAGACACCATTTTCCAGAGATGGGGGGCTGGGAGGGGGATGGGCCACGCTAAAGAGAGAATCCAGGTGGGGAAGGTTCTGACGTCTACTCCATGTTCTCTTTCTCCCTCTGGTCCTCTCCCACTGGTGAGGACTCATCACATTTGCATGATTTGAATCCTGAGATTAACTGGGCCATCCTGGTCAGGAGCATCCCATCATGCCTTGGTCTTTGCAAGGCTGAACGATGATTTGAATATACCTTCCAGGTGAGATATTAGCAGCATATTTGAGGATGTGCCTTTCACCCCTCTGAAAACTCTAC